TATTACGTATTGCTCAATATAAATTACTGATGAGCCTTATATCTTTTCCATCAAGTCCCAAGTCTCTGAGGTATGATATAAGGAGGTTTGTTTAACGTTATCGAACGCCTTTTCATAGTCTATAAAGCAAATAGTCTATGAAGTAGACTATTAGAGCCCAGTAAAGACATATTAACAGGATTTAGAAGTTAGGAATATTCTATAGTTGTTGAATATTTTTCTCTAACTGTAACATATGTCGGCATACAGGACCAGTAAAAATAACTAGTATACTTCTTGAAGCTTCCCGTCGTATCATTATTGCATTTCAAGAAAACAGAAAAGGAGATATTAAAAAAGATATGGATCAGTTTTGCAATGCTGGTTTGTCAAAATTTCAAAGAAAACACATTTTAGCTTATTTGCAAATTTGAACCATTCTTATTATAGTCATGTTTCATGTTGATCAAAACTCCTCCCGTCTGTGAAATTCCAATTTATTTATCAATGCATTTATTAAAATAATCATGTTTATGATCATGAAGATTGGCAACGTATTAACTACAGTCATTCCTGGCCAATCTCATATGTTTTTCATCCACGCATATCGCTCCTCGGCTTGAACTCATTTCCTTCAATTTAATCTTTGCTGACAAGGTGTAGTAAGTGGTATTTGTAGTTCTTGAGAATATATCCAAAGTCTGCCGATTTCCTTTTCTTAATCATACTTAGAAGCTCTGTCTCTTTCGGATTCATTTGCTATTTATTTGCTCTGTCCAAGGTATCTTTAGCATCCGACGAAATATGAGGAAGATTTTAAAGGCTTTGATTTTTCACACTGTATTCACTTTTAGGGTACAGGGGATTCCATTAATTAATAAGAGCACACAGAATAAGTATAGCACTTGGCCATACAATCTCGGGTTTTCAATGTCAGATCTTTATTACACAAGATTGATTAATTTTGAAACCTCAATTCTTCCAAGCTCCTGTAGTTCGGCATTATCCAGAAATGAAAAAGTCATTTGAAATAGGCTCAGATTGGGCCATTTCTCGCATTCTTTTCTTTTAAAAGGTGACCCCCTGCCTATCTGCTCTTATTGTAGCAAGCAACAGTCACCATCTCCTAATAGAATGTCCCTCCTTCATTAACTTAAGACAATCACTTTGTCTGAATGGTGATCTGGCTTCCTTACTTGATGTTAATAATCTACAGCCTTTGTACAGCAGATTCTGTGGGGAAAATGGGGAAACACCAGTACACTTCATCATTGAGTGCGCCGAGACGACAACGACTGGTGCCATGAACTTTGGTACGACTGATATTGGAGATGGAGAACTACCCTCTATAAAACCGTCCCAGATACTGGTTTTTGTCAAAGCCCTGGGACGGTATGATGAGTTATAACTCAAGAAAGGGGGACACAATAGATCTGTAAGGTTGCAGTGATTAACCACCCCTCCCACTCATTCTCAATTCTAAAAAAATTATACAGTCTTTGTTCCAATTCGTTAGGGCATCTGGTTTGGGTTCATTAATATAGTTTAATTTAACTTTAATTTGTCCAATGTCGCTAAGTGGCTTAGCAGCTGCTACAAAATCCTCCTCCTCCTTCTTCTTCTTCTGGTTGATTTTGAGGAATGTGTTACTGGCTTTAACCTCTACCTCCTGATTCAAATCCTCAGTGATCCAATATTCAAGACACCTGAATAAAAATATATGGGCAGCATCCATATTCTATCACGAATCACGACTGTAAATTGTCAATTCTGTATTTGGAAACAAATTCGTACAACCACACTAATGTACGAATTCGTAAGAATTGATTCTTACGAGTTCGTACTATCAAATTTATAGCTAATTTACGGTTTTTTAATCCTTAGAATTAATGCTATGGCGTGGGAGATACCTTAGAAGTAATATTTGAATAATAACCTATCGCAAAAGGTATTAAAACGATTTTTCACCTGCTAAACCTGGCAACACCGGCCCATTCTTCGGGGGCCCGTTTTTGAACCGACCGGCGGCGATGATTCATCTTTTTCGAAACACGTTAAAAAGGAAAAATGTTGTTTCAAGGTCTCTCTGTGTTCGCTCCACAGGTGAGGACGCGCAGAGGGTGGGGTGAGAGGAGATGCGCTCTCTGTTATTAAGCGATGCGGCATCTGGTGTTAATTCGTTTGCCACCTAGAGTCAAGGCGTTTGCTGGCCACCAAATTCCCTATTGTGGTGACTCGTTGGAGTAATTAGATCTATTGATCAGATGCGGTGTAGAGTCATTCAGGTTTCTTTGGTGATGACGATGATTATAACAATGGAATTTTGATTCAGAAAATTTTTGATAGTGCGTTTATGTCTTCTTTAGAATATCTTTGGAGGATAAGATCATATTGTCTCACTTAAGGTGGCTAATACAATTTCCAGTGACACTGCTGTTAAAGTGTTTAATCTTAAAATGGATGAGAACTCCTACAATTATGTAACTTGTTGCTTTTCAGGCTAATGAAGATACACCAAAAATAGACAAAACACTACCAATTTACCAATTTGCACTAGTGTATTCCTGGGCTACCTACTGCAGGTGCTCCCAGGGTTGAAAAAATAGTATATTGTTTTATTAAGTGTAAAAAATAATAGAGGAAATCAAGTAGGTAACCAAAGTAGCCAACTATGGAATACCTCCCTAATATGAAATTTTTACTCCGAATAAAACTTTGATAGAGAACATAAGTTAGATACACTACAATAAACGTATATTTTTTCTTGATTTTATGGCATCTACACACACCGGAAAAGTCTAGGGATATTACAATTTTATCCAGCCATCGTCAGTAATTTTATTATTTGCATTTCTGATATAATAAAATTAAAATAAACAAATAGTTTACAGGACGTATTGGATATAAAAATGCGAAATTTACCGAATTTTTCAAATTTACCTTGATTTGTATTGAACTCAAAAAAATACACACATTTTTTTTTATTCTAAACTGTGAATTAAAAAAAAAAAGATAAAACCATTTTTACTTAATAAAGTGTATAGCCTCCTCTACTGTTCATTACAGCCTTACATCGTATCTCCATGCTCCTGACTCCTGATCAGGTTGTCGATCTCTTCTTGAGTTACATCCTGCCACGCTGCATTCACGGCCCGAACCAGATCCCTACGAGTTTCACGAGGCATACCCATTCTCAAAATTCTTCTTTGGACCGCGTCCCATACGTGCTCGATGGGGTTGAGGTCAGGAGATTGTGCCGGCCAGGGTAAGATGTTTAATTGATGAGCATTGATAAACTCACTTACCACTCTGGCTGTATGAGGCCGTGCATTGTCATGCATGAGAATGAGGTTTCTCCCAAAATCATTGGCATATGGTAACACGACAGGCTCAAGAATTCAATCACGATATGTGATTCCTGTTAGAAACCTTTCAAGAAAAACGAGATCGGGTTTTCGGCATAACTGGACTCCTCCCCAGATCATAACTGTTCCACATTGATAAGGGTGCACTTCCTGAACATGATCCAACCGAATAAGATTTCCCGGTTCTCTCCATACCCTAAGCCTTCTCGAATCCGGATGATTTACAAAGCGTGACTCATCCGTGAAGAGAACATTGGCGGCCATTGTTCATTCGACCACTGAACATGATCTTGAGCCCACAAATATCGTACCTCTCGATTTCCTAGTTAAGGGTTGAGCTCTCCAGGGCGTCTGCTTCTTAAGTTGACCTCTCTTAATCTATTGCGAACAGTGTCAGGACTAACGGTTACATTATGTGTTTCCTGGAGAATTAAACTAAGCTCTGGTGCTGTAAGAGTCGGTCGGCGTCGAGCATTTAATGTAAAAAATGATCTTGCTGAGGGGTAGTAATGCGATGTCGCTCTGTGTACCTTTCAGCAACATCACCACTTTCACGGTAGCGTGCACTTAATCGCGATATTACACTTTGCGTTGTATTTAATACTCTAGCTACGTCGATTTGGCGCATTCCAGCTTCTGAGCATACCCATGGCTCTTAGCATTTCGTCTTTGTTAAGATGTCTACGCTCCATAACGTTGTTTAATACTAAACAGAGTTATTTGAATTCTGGCCAGTTATCATAAAAAACATAGCCAGTACAGGTTAAATTTGAACAATTGATTCTAGGTGCTTTTTATACATTTGACAAAAAATGCACAAACACTTCTGCGAATATCCCAAATTTAGAAATAACTAGTGTGACTACTTCGTTTCAATCGAAGTATAGAAAGAATCGGCCTACAAATATGTGGTTGTTTATTCAAAACATTTATTTTTAACTTTAATAAAATGATATCCCTAGATTTTTCCGATGTGTGTATTATTTTGTCGAGAGAAAACAAATAATTACAAACACTACCTGAATGTCACCCGATGTCACCCTCAGAAACAGACAAAACACTTAAATTTAAACATAAACCTGCCAATAATCGTTCCTTTTTAAACGAACTCCCACGTAACGCCGTCACACTAACAAAATATCCTCCGATAAAGACAGATATAAACGTCAAGAAAATGTGTCACCCCGATCCGCCTTATAAACAAAGTGGCTTTATCGACCGATTTTAAAATTAGATGACCTGCCCCGATTTGCAAAATCTCTCTCTCTAACGAAATATCTGTCGAGATTCGTCTGGAAATTTCGTTTTACGAGCACAACGTATGACGTAGGTCGTAAGACTCTTTTACGATATATGGCGAAATAATTTTCGAAAACGATATACTCGCTGGCACGGAGCTTTGTAAAAATACCCTTTTGAATGCTGAGTACCTTCGTTTCCCGGGACAGATATGGATCGAGGTTCAGAGATTGCATTAGGATTAGAACTTTGGATCGCATAATAGGTAGATGCGGATTTTTGTCGGTAGCTTTTGGTGGACATAAAATATTATAATTAAAGTTCAGGCAAATAATATAAATAGACCTTTGAATAAGAAGACTAAAGAAGGAGCATATCAAAAATCTTAGGTCCACCGCGATGGGACTCAAATATGGCCGACTTAAATTCCGGTTTATCAGTGCCGTTCTAATTTCATTTAAAAAATGTAAAACTATGATGTAGGGTAGACGTGGGATAGACTCAATATTTTTTTTTAATTTTACGTTGTGAATAAATGTTTGTAGTTATTAAAATTGTTATAAAAACATATTATTAAAAAAAATAGATAAGTTTTAATAATTATTTATTAACACAAACATCCGATACGCTACTGAAGCAGGTAAGTCAAATTGACGTATCTAATTTCTTTGACATCTAATCTTTGACAAGTAGTAAATAAAAGCAAAAATGAAAGAAAAAATATATAATTAGTTAATTTAAGTGAATTTCATAAATGATCGGTTTACTACACGTATGTATATTATATAGTCACTTACTAGCGAAAAGTTGTTCCATTATTTCACTCGATTTTTGCCGAGATCTACCGCACGCTACACAACCACTATTTTAGAGTCTTTTTTCGATAAATCGCGATAGTGTCACTGTTGATTTAAGTTTTTGCCACAATTTCCATCTAGATTTACTACCTTTATACAACTATCAGTAGTAGAATAAATAATAAATAACATAAAATAAGCTCCGTAAAGACTGACAAATCCACAAAATTTCAAATCAAATTCAAATGTGTCAAATGAATCGTCAAACAGAACTGTCAAGGCTCCCCATCCTAGAGTCCTTTTTCCGCCCATCATGCATGAATACATGGATAGCATTATGCTCCTTCCTTAGTCTTCTTATTCAAAGAAATAGACAAATCTTAAGGTACGTAACAAAGGGAATACGTGAAATATACCAACCAGAGGTAAACGGAAAACGTCAACAACGTCGCCGGTATCAGCTTGTTTAGATAATATAAGATTTAAGATATTATATTGAAGATATATAGGGGAAAGTTAATGACCGCAATTTTATAGATCTATTGTGTCTCCCTTTCTTGACTTTTGACTCATCATTCAGTTTTAGGGCTTTGACAAAAGCCAGTATCCCAGACGGTTTTACAGAGGTTAGTTCTCCGTCTCCAATATCAGTCGTAACAGAGTTTATGGCATGAATGGTTGTCGACTCGGCGCACTCAGTGATGAGGTGTACTGGTGTTTCCCCATTTTCCCACAGAATCTGCATTCGCCGTTGTTCCTTAGCTTCAATCTACTGAGGTGTTCTTCAAGTGTCTTAGACCACTGGAGGATTCCCATTCCAGGTTACGAATGGAGTCTTCCAGATTCTTAAGTTCCGTTTTAAGTTGGGTTCCATGCGGGAATAGGGGTCGTCATTTTCTTGACAACTTCGTGATCTTGTCTTAATTTCAAGACAAGATCAAGACTGTGGGCCAAATTAAATTGAAACCTTTTTTAATGCCTAATAATTTTTTAATTTTTAAATGTTTTTTTTATAATTTTTTGGATATGTTATGGCCTACGATATTAGAATAGAAAAAAAAACTTTGCAAAGCGGGTCTACTTCAGTGACATTCAGACTTTTTGAATTAACGTAAAACTTTTAAAATAAAAAAATTATACATTTTATGTACGCCACTGAAGTAGAGTAGCTTTTATCATTGTTGTTTTGACTGTTTTTATCTGTAGTAGTATTATCACCGTCACTACTGTCAAAGTCACTAATTAAACTTCTACGTCCAGATATCTGAGGTGGTAGGTATTCTGAACCATATTCAATTACGAACGGCTCAGATTTGCTGCTCAACAAACCATCGCAATCACTCATTTTAATGTTAGATAATAATAATAATTAACAAAATTATGTAAATCTGATGATTTTGACTACTGTAGTATAATGAGCCCAACGTTTTTGATTTTTTTGAAAATTAGATGGCTGACCCTCGGTTTTACGCATAAAGCATAAACATCACATTAACCAATCTCACCGCGACTTTTAAATAGGGGGTTCCCCTTTAATAAACGAATTTTAAACGGGGGTTCCCCTTTTGTCAAGATATCAAGAAATTTCAAGATTTCTTGAATCAAGACAAGAAATCAACTCTCAAGAAATGGTCAAGACAAGATTTTTTTTTAATTCTTGAAAATATTTCACGACAAGACAAGAAATTGCTTGTCAAGACAAGATTTCTTGTCTTGCCGAAACCGTTCTGCTTCGCGAGTAGGTTCTGGAAGGTTGGTTTTGGCAGCATTGGCATATGGTATTCCAATTCTTTTTGGTGCTCAATACTACAGCGAGGTGTTCCTCAAAGTTCAATTCTTGATATTCTTGATATGTCATCCAGTGGGAGTTGAAGGAATGGATTTTTTGGGGGTGTTTCCAAGCTCCTGAGCTGACAGTTTTCTCAGTACTGTTTCCGGCAATGCCCATCTTAATCATTGTAGCAATGGTATATTTACCAATGAAAACGTGCATCAGTGGCTGGATATTATATACTGTTTGATTTATTTTTTGTTGTATTTTAGCCCAAAAGAGCAACTATTACATAAAGTAGTCGAGCGAGACTGGTCTTGGTCTTACTTTGCTTAATATCGCTGTATCCAATTTGCTAATTCAAATCCTGACACAATATTTACCCGATTTATACACTTTGTACAAAACCCATTAAAAACTATATGAGATGTAGTAAATTTAGGCAAAAGACAACAATTTATTAAATGGAAGCACAAGCAACTGGATTCCAATCTCTTCTCCTATGATGTAAATAGAAATTTCAATATGCGCAATACCCTTCTCCATCCCACGACGACATAAATATTGAAATTATCCGGGAAAAGCATTGTCATTTTTAAGAGATCGAAATTTACGCAAATATTCCGCTCACAAATGCGAAATTTATCGAGCCATTTGTTTACGTTATGCCGAGCGCGGCCCATAAATACCGGGGCATGATGAATTAGCGCTGCCCAAGAAGGAAAGTACAGGTGGTTGTCGAGCGAGCACGTGTCTAGACTTGCATGACTTACCTGTTAGACAACAACAGCCGTTATTCACGTCTAGTTGAGCTGCTGCGGCGCTACCATATAATTTCTCTTTTACCAGAAGCTCTTAGTCCCGATCGCTCGTTACTTCCATATAATGGTAAGCGTTCATTTAGATATCGAAGTACTTCAGATAAGAAAGGAATAATGAAGAAATAAAAACAATTAATAAAATGTAATAGGATAATTTATTTTATTTTACAACCACATATGTAATAATACTGACATTACTGACTTTAAAAAAATTTGAAAATGTCAAATATATCTACATTTCTTCCCTTTTCCATCTCATTCCTAACTCATTTCCCTCATCCATTTCCATCTCCCATTTCCCTCACCCATTTCATTTAATTAAGCAAAATATTCTTGTTATATCTTTATTAAATTTATCTAACATCAACAAAAAACAAGAAGATTAACAATAATAATTGAAGATTTTAATACATTTATTTGTTGAAGGTAAAATGCTAGACTTCTTTAGCTTAAAAACCTACATTCTGTAAGGATTTAGTGTCGAATGAGTTTTGTGGCCATTTCTTGATATGTCAGTCCCTTTCCCCTATAATTCTAGCATTGTCCGTATCATGCTGTATACAGATACGTAGCCCAAAGAGTAGATGAATTTTTCTGCCTTGCCATGTCGTTAAAATATGCCATCAAGACTGTATCCGAAGCAATATTCTATGCATTTCTTTCGGCACAACATTTTCATATACTTTCATTGCTATTTCATATCGCCCCTACTTTTCTCTGGAAGTAAACTGGTTTCTGCTCTTTTTGCAGCTTCTGTAAGTTCTGTGTGCTGTACCAATATTAAAGTGGTCTTCATTTTCAGAACTTTTCGACAACATTCTGGCTTTCTATGTTATATAAAAAGCGAACGAGAAATTAAAACTGTCACTTAGTTGTTTATTTTGTTGTTGAAGGTTTGCGTCATAACAACCACTGGTACTATAGATATGGAAATGCCAAAATAGAAAACGACAAATTTTCGCATATTTTTTTTTCAAATAAATTACTGTCCCTAATTTTTAATTAATGATGGTTGTAAATAAAAATAGTATACAAAACTCGGAGGAAAGTTTTCATTGTTGTCTCGAGATTTAGTCAATATATCGACAGTAATGAAACACTTTCCTCGATATGTAATATACTATAGTTTTCTTCATAATTCGTTAAAGAACTAGTTCCTTAACGTTTGCTTGAAAGTTGTATACACTTATATGAATTATGAGATCGATCTTACGTCGGTTAGCCTTTTTTCATCGAGCAAATATCACATGCAATGATCAAGCATCTGTTAATGCTTAACTAAATAATAATATTAAAACAGATTTGCTTGAGAAAGGTTACTCTGAGGAGATTATGTCGAACTACAAGACCGTGTTCTCAGAATTTAAGGATGCGTCATCCTGATGAAAATTGTCTCTTTCTCTTGATGACCGCATGCTAGGAACATTTGCTTTCCCATCTGGCGCCATATTCTGTACACGGCATCGACAATCGTCGGTATCGGTAAGTTACGACAGCTGCTATCGGTACTTACGGCCAATGAGCGCCGTGTTTGTTGTTGTCATAATTTTAGCCATTAGGGTATAGAAAATTTGTACCGATAACTATCGGTATCTCTACCGTGGAGTTAACAAGGGTACGGTAGAGATACCGATCCTCGTCGAGCGAAACCTAATGGCTGACACCGGCGCTTCCATTGGTACAACAACAATACATTTTACCATATAAAAAACTATCGTAACTTACCGATACCGACGATTATCTTTTCCCATCATTTTTGGCATTATTTTCTATTCTTGAGGAGGTACTATCTAGGATAATCGAAAAATCTGCAACTTTTATCGGTTTTATTTAAATATTTCTTTTTTGTTTGTTTCAGATCACGTCTGGGAACTGGCCAAGCAATCCGAAAACAAAACCTTACATATCTTCTCTCAGGTCTACTATTCGATGGCCGAATTATCAACGAAACCCATCGAGATCCTCTACCGAGACATCAGAGACTACGTCAAAATCGACCCGTCCGACCAAAAACCTACCAAGACCCCATCCGACATCGTTGCCAGCGTCAACCAGTTCTTCACCGAACTGTTCCCTCTAGCCTATCACCAACAAACCGGACTATCATCCGGTGATTTCTACCACAAGATACAAACATTTCAAAGACAATATGGATGTGATAAAAACCCTCTCCGATTTCCCAAACAAGTCTCAGACTCGTTATCAAAGAGTCTGGAGACGACTAGACTGCTTTTAGAGGCTCTGGGTATCGGAATGGAAGTGCTAAACACCACGCACGCGTTGATTATTGATGAACATGCTACAACTAACTCTGAGTGTCATACGGCTTTGCTCAAAATGACTTATTGTCCGAAATGTCTTGCTCTGCCCAAGCATAATCGGCCTTGTTCGGATTATTGTTTGAACGTGATGAGAGGCTGTTTGAACAAGTACGTGGCTGAGTTGGATTTGCCTTGGAACGTGTATGTGGAGGGGATAGAGAATTTGATCAACGCGGTGAAGAAGAACTCGAACGAGGGTGGTACTAATGTTGATATAGCGATTAAGAATTTGGACGTGCAGATTTCTTCGGCTATCATGTATTCGATGGAGAAGATTAAGGAGATAATAAAAGGTAAGCAAATAATTCGTAAATTGTAAACTCAAGCTTCATATTTACATAATTATTATAAAGTATATAATAATAAAATTTAAATTTTCAAAAAAATCCTATCACTTGTCTAAAAGCACTATGAACGTTTAACTTACTATCGCATCATTATAACATTTTTGTCTGATTTGTAAATCTTGGGTACCTTATGTTTTTCGACATCAATTTGTACTTTTTATCACCGTTTTATATTAAATAAACTAAAACAACTATTTAATTTAATTCTAAATATTTATTTAAATTCCACACCTCCTCCTCTTGGACGCGTCGTTCCTATTTATACACACTTCCACACATATAAATAAAGTAATAAAAAAAATATTTGATAAAATTTATTTTTTTTTTTTTTTTTTTTGTTTGTTTTTAAATTGTCAGTTATTTATTGATCGAGACATTTAGTTTTGACTTCCTTCCAAAGCGGGCCATATTAATATTAATACACACACCTTCCATCACTTTTCAACGCTTAGGTATAGGAAAATATATAATATAAATAAATTTAATTATTAAATGTAAAAAAAAAAAAAAAAAAAAAAAAAAAAAAAAAAAAAAATTTTATAAATAATTTAAAATATAATGATTTTTAATGTCAAAAATACTGTACTTAAGGATCGAAATAAAATAGCTACATTTAAGCAGGATCGGCACTGTATCGTAATTTTACCTGCAAGATCAGAAGTAAATCACCTAGAGTGGAATTATCCAGCATATATCTCCTTTTCTATTAACCTTTTCGATATGGAGGTCAATTCCTATAATGAGGACCTGATATATGGTGACTCTAGCGCAGATTCAACTCCAGAAGCAATATCGCGCTTTTGATAACTGTCTGTCGCTGATTTAGCCACGATCTTTTTGTCTGCCCTTTTGTATACGGCTTTTAAAATAAAGAAATATGACATTCCACCAATCAGCATGCATGTATGCCTTAATTTGTTTTAAAAATTATGACCTTTGGAAAAAATTTCATGCCTCTTTCGTGTTGTCTGTCGGCATTTTAGCCACGAGAAAAATGTCTGCCAACAATTTTTCACGTTTCTTAATAATAAATAAAAGCTATTTGGTAATTATAATTCGTGTACCTTATAATATTTTTAGTATCAAAATTTCACTCTTTCGATTGACCGCCCCCGCTTTAAGCCCCTGGATCGCGCTGGCAGACATGACTATTTCATAATGGCAACACAAAAGGATACTTCACAAGAAAAATTAGCCATGTAACGATGATAAGGTTTTTTATGTAGCCAGCTCTTAGACCATAATAAGTCCCTGCTTGCCTCCCGGTATTGAACGGCTTTCCATCCTGCTTTTTTCTCTTCTTGTTGGAGTAGAGGTGAGATGCGCCAAGCTGATTCCTTTACTTTTCCAAAAAGAGTGTTTTTGCTTTTGCTTTCTCTGGGACAAATCCTTCATTGAGCATTTGGAACTATCTCCGTACTCCTGCTCCGCTGAGATCTACTCTGGTTGACCCAGACCGGGTAGAGGAAACGATAGCTTGTGTAGCCTGTTAGGTTTAGAGGTAGGCTCCCGACCCTTACTAGAGGAGCATGGTAGCTCGTGTGCCACTTGTGGAAGCTGATCTCGCGCAAGTGTCAGCTGCCTCTCCTGTAGTTTTCTTTGAGATTGGTCTCTTGGAACTTGAACTATTAATGCTCTCAGTGTTATTAGGGAGTTTCCCTCCAGCTCCACAGCAAGGTCCACTTCTACAGAGCCGTAGAATGTTTAGCAGGAGGCTTAATAACCGCGTCCTTACAGATCTATTGTGTGCTCCCGTTTCTTGAGTTATAACGGGTTATAACTCATCATACAGTCTCAACACTTTGACAAAAGCCAGTATCTGAGACGGCTCCACAGAGGTTAGCTCTCCATCTTCAACATCAGCCGTACCAAAGTTTATGGCACAAACGCTTGTCGTCTCGGCGTACTCAATGATGAGGTGTTTCCCATTTTCCCCACAGAATCTGCATTCGTCGTTGTTTCTCAGCTTCAATCTACTGATGTGTTTGTTAAGGAGACAGTGTCCTGTTAGAAACCCCGTGACAATACGAAGGTTGTTCTTACTGAAATCAAGGAAATTCTTTGATTTTTCTCGGTCGTAAGTTCTGAGGAACTTTTTCGAATGTCTTAGACCGTTGGAGGATTCCCATTCCAGGTTACGGACGGAGTCCTCCAGGTTCTTAAGTTCCGCTTTAAGCTGGTTTCCGCTTGGAAAGCAGAACGGTTCTGGCCCAGTTAGTGGAGTGTTCGCTCCTTTTCTAGCTAGATCGTTTGCTGTTTCGTTGCCTTCTATCCCTTGGTGAGAAAGAAAATACAAGAACTACGAGAAATGTTCGACTGATAATTGATGTGTAAACTCTATATTTCAACCATATTGCCAAAACTCAACATAAAACGGTTCGACCAAAGTTTCATCATTATAACTAATCTTGTCAACCGGTTTGTATGACGAAAGTTTTTTTGCTCATTCAGTAACTGAAATCTGAAGAGAGATACTAAACATTGTAGTAGTTATTTCATGAAATTTAAAAGCTTTTAATAAAAAAATGAACTGTGAGATTTTGTCTCGAATTTGTCTTTTTTGTCATAAAACTCATAGAAAATATTGATTAACCTACTAGATCATGACATAGGAGATTTCGTGTGTACTGTAATCCATATAGATGATTATAATTTTAAGGCTTTGATCGAAGACTTCGATTTCGAGTAATAGATAAAGCGTTTTAAATCAAGTTAGGAACGTTCTTACTCACTTTAATGACACCATCGATCTTCTAACGAGCAATTGCGGGGCGTGTTGGCCGATAATGCAGTAAATTTTCATCGATTCCTTTGAAAAATTAGCCAGAAACTTAACAGGTTAATTTTTTATCTTCTGCAGTTAAATAACCTATGTTACTATTTCGATCGTTTTGAATTCTGAAAAACGAATAATTCTAACAGAATTAAAGACACGAAAATATATTATATAAATAATGTTCCTGAATTTACCTAATAAGTAGCAACTGGTATTTTCTATACAGTAAGGTTTATAATATTATTATTTCTGTGAATTTATAACCATTAGGTTTGCGTTAAAGCACTTCCAGCTCTCTGCGAAGTTTTCGGTGTCATGTCGCTGTGATGTTAGCTTCTGCTGCTTCCTCTAGTCCTTCCAAAAAACCGTTCGCAAAAAACGATTTTCCAGTCCCGGACAGTGACATAGCGGGTGCTCTATGGCTTTGTCTTCCTCTCCGCATTCTCTGTAGTAGTCGTCGTTGGAAATCTTCCATCTCAGAAGGTTTACACCCGGGGGGCAGTTTCCAGTGGCGACACCTACAATTATTATGAGTTACTTTGAATGTGGTAGACAATGATTCAGTATTGATGAGTGATAGTCCTGACCGAAAAGTTGTGTAAGCAAAGTAAATAAAGACAATGGAAGTCCGAAATTCTTTTAGTTTTAATACAATTATGATACTAGGTAGGTGCCCGGTGGCGTAGAGGTACAGGCTCTCGTCTACCAATCTCAAGGTGTGGGTTCGATTTCCACACCCGGCATTTCATCAGCCGACTATTTTTATTAAAATAAAAATAGTTTGGGTACCTAGGTCGACTCAGCTTTAAATGAGTGCTTGGGATTCACAATCCTGAGGTAATAATAGGCGGTTGAAGCGTAGTGCTAGCCACATTACCTTCCTTGTATATCGAACGGCAAGCTGTACCTTGCTACTCCCAAGGCGTTAAACGCTATATACGGGAGCTATTATTATTATTATTATTACTAGGTTCTTTCTGTGCTCTAGTAGTTGTTTTGTCTTTTCGCTATCTACCACTGGCCACAGCCTTCTAGCTGTACCTACTATCTTATTTACGATATTGATTTAGTCGATTTAAAACTAAGTTATTAATCAAAAACTATTTCTTATCGGTAATTGTAGTACCTATAAATAAAATTATATTACTATACGTATCTAGCAGGTAAATAAATAATTGCTGGAAATTATTAACAAAAATAAATAGATATTGCTCAACAGACATCATAAACGGAGCGGAACATATAAATTAATTGTTGAGTAGAGTTGAACGGTGGAATTATGAGCAATACAGATTTATATTTGAATAGTTTTAAGCGTAAATCTTAAATAAGAAACATAATAATATCCTTATAATATGTTTTTTTTCGGAATACTGGATCAATGTGAACTGCCATGTTAACGGAAAATTCGGTATCTGATGCCTTGAGCAAGTTAAGTTTTTGTTTGTTAATATTTATAAATTGATAATTTTGTGAGACAAAAAGATAAAATAAAAAGCGGCATACAGTATTGCCGGTTTTTATGTTTGTAGGAAAATGCGTGTAGAGAAAAATAAACTATTTTAAAATGTATGTATACTACTGAAATGAAGATAATATATCCAAAAGCTAAATATAATCGATTACAGCTGTAGTAAAATGAGTAACTAATTGTGAAAAATAAAGTTCCAACCCTCGATGCAACATTTTCATAAACGCCAACTCCTGCTTTTTGAAATTTTGCTGCAAAATCCGGCAATACCGCATAGAAGAAATGTATCAACCCAACCTATTATCTCTTTTTAATACATTTAATTTTCCATTAAGCTGTCGACGTCACTGTCTTGCACGTTAAAATCCAAACTACGCAGTATCGATGACCAGATCCGTATAAGTGTACCTATTTTCATAGGTGATCTGCGCTTCTCACTTGTACATTGTTCATTAAAATTTTAAAACTTTCAATGTTAAAGAGAATGTCAGTTCAAGAAGATCATTTTTTCATTTCCAAAAAAGAATTCTATTGTTTGTTGGTTCGTATACAAGTGACATTTAAACTCTTTTTAAATTTTAAATAATTTCCGAATAACATACTAAGAACCGTATAATTTTAATAAAGAAAAACTTAATATCGCAATCAAATATTATAGACATGTTGATTTTGTTTATATGTTAGGTCTGAATTTTGTAAAAGTTTAATATTGCGTCACCAAGACACTGTAGAATATTGCTCAATATTTTTTGTTGTAAAACCCGTATTTATGTCCCATGGAGCTATAAAATATTATTGTATTTTCGAAGATTAATGGCGCTGTCGTAATTTCCTATTGTAATTCTAGACAATTTATTTTCTAATTAGCCTAGCCCGCGGAGCTATGGAAATATGTGAAATAACTCATAAAACTACTTATTATCTTAAAAGATCTTCTTCGTGGTTGGTTTCATTAGAAATTTCGTTTTGCTTGTCATTTTGCCATATTTAACGTTGTAATACTGTTTGTTTACATTATTTTGTAAATTTAAAATATGAAAATTAATCACAGAGCTTTACGTCTTATTTTTAACAAATAAAAATTGTGAATTTTATATTGGTGATAGATCTAGAGCTTTAAGAGTCCATTTCACTAGTCCGAAAAAAAGTAGCAAAATAAGCGTTCGGCATTTTAACGTTTTATGTAAACTGGCTAGGTATTTTTACACAAACTAAGAAGGAAATTAAAGATAAAGGAATATACTAAATCCACGACCCACCATGATGAAGATGTAAACGAAACGTCGAATCCAAGTTTGCAGGATGGTGTGTGCACCCTCTCTCACATAGCCTACCCACCAAATTTGGTCGCAATCGGACGACATCAACTTTTGACGTTTCTTACGTCAAAACTGTCACAGTACCACGTATCGTTCACAGTCAAGTTGGCCTTGATCCTATTTATTGACATACCAAATTGCATCTAAGGCTGAATTCCCTTGCAAAACCGGGCGAACCAGACCGGTTAACTACGGTAAAGAGCGGTTCCTGAAAATCATCGGTTTGATATGGAACGGTTTGGTAAAATATTGGAAACGTCAAATGTTTGACGTTGACGTTTTCTAAATTTCAATACCTCTATTATAAAATTTATCTTTTATGCATTTTTAATGTACCTATTCTCTGTTTTTACGTTTGCTTCTTCTTTTCAATGGAGTTTAATATTGAAAAGTACTTTATTAATAAACTGTTAAACTCGTTAGAGCTCAAGTGAAGATTTGCAGGTCCAATATTAAAACAGATCAATAATAAATAAACAAATCTAATAAATATTTATATTTTTATAGCTTACAAAACATTCACGATTGCTTGTTGTCTTGTTTTTCACGTTTTCTTTAAATGTTCCTGACTTTAAGAAACAATGGCTGCATGATAAGTTTAAATGGTCCTAAAAAGTAATTCTATTTAGTTAATGAAATTTATTTACCTTTACTGCCTACCTCCATTGCTTTTGGATGTAAATACAAAATATTATTACAAATTTTAGAAATTAAATGAGAACATCACAAGAACTTCCAATATTTGCTTGATTTCTGTCACATAAATGACATTGATCGACAAACCAAACCAGAAAAACCAGCATTCTCGCGCTGGTTAGTTTGGTGACAGATGGGTGACAGTTATAACCGAATTTTTCAGGAACCGTGTTCCGTAATAAGAAAACTTTCGGGAAACCGATAGAAACGGAACATAAAACCATAACCAAGGTAAGCAACGGAATACACCCTAAACCGGACGATTTTTTCTAAACTGTAGACTGTCCACTTTGTAAACATTGCGTGTCGTGTCTCGTGTCGTGTCGGGGCCTTGAATTTTTACTCACCCAACGCGCGTAAAGTAGTTTCACTTCAAAAATAAACGTAAACTGTCATAAATCGTTTGCCAATATTTCTAGTTTTAGTTTATCGCCTGTTATCCTCCAACTTTTACAGTTAATTCACAAAAACGATCGTGGAGAGGTGCCAACGTTACAAAGGTCCAAAATGAAAATTTATGTAGTTTTCTCAGACGTAATTTTCGAAATTATCCGAGCCTTTTTCGCTTCTCTGTACCGGCAAAGTAAAACGAATGGGAATATTGATATTTGTTGCAAATTTAAGCGTTTGAAATAGTGCATAGAAAGTTTCTATTTATAGGACTTGTAGGTCAACTACATCTAGATCGTTAGAGATATTCTTAGAAATTCGAAATATGTATGTATACATGACATAATAATAAATATTTGTACATTAATACGAACTGTTACATACTTATTTACATATTAATACAATAATTATATAGAAAATGTATGTTTAAACCTATAAATATAGTTGCAAACTTGTACCTTCTCCTAAATTTCCTTCTTTTCCAACTGATTCTCCATCTCACATAAGTACAATTCCATAGAGGAAGAAATAGCGTTTATTTCAAGTATTTCAAGCAAGCTCCCTACATCAAAGAATACCTCGAGACATTCAACAAATTAGGCAAAGAAAATAAAGTCCTCCTACTCTGGGTGCCTGCTCACCAAGGGATAGAAGGCAATGAAAAGCGGGAACTAACTGAAATCGGAACTGAAGAATCTGGAAGACTCCATCCGTAACCTGGAATGGGTGTCCTCCAACAGTCTAATACACTCAAAAAAGTTCCTCAGAACTTAGGACCGAGAAAAATCAAAGGTTTTCCTTGATTTAAGTAAAAGCAATCTTTGGATTGTCACGGGGTTTCTAACAGGACACTGTCTCCTCAACGAACACCTCAGTAGGCTGAAGCTGAGAAACAACGGCGAATGCAGATTCTGTGGGGAAAATGGGAAACACCAGAACACCTTATCACTGAGTGCGCCGAGACGACGACCGTTCGTGCCATGAACTTTGATACGGCAGATGTCGAGGATGGAGAGCTGCCCTCTGTGAAGCCGTCTCAGATACTGGCTTTTATTAAAGCCCTGAGACTGCATGATGAGTTATAACTCGTTATAAGTCAATAAAGGGGAACACACAATAGATCTGTAAGGTCGCAGTGATAAACTCCCCTCCTAAACATTCTACATTCTACAAGCTCCACTACATAATCACGGTTTATTTTTGTCTCGGCATTCAATACAATGTTAGAAATTGAACGTAATCGGCCAAGTAACATATAATCAATACACTATGGCATTTTTGGGCACAGTTTTTATTAATTAAATATGAAAAAGTTATTGCACGATTTCAAAATACTATTGACCAAGAAGTATCAGAAAAAAATAGCACAACATGATAAGCCTATATGAAGGAACCTTTAGCGTAGATTTTATTATCAAAATGTATTATGAATACGTAACCTAAATTTTTTTCATTTATTTTGTGATACTTATTCTATAATTAAATAAGAAAATGGGAGAGAGTCTTAGAAGCATTGCTTTAACAAATCTAATTTTATTTTGAACCATCCTGTAAAATTTCGAGATGATAATTAGACATCTTGCTTAAAATACGACGATATCTTTATTTATAAATCCGTCATTCAAAGAGAAATTCGAGAGTAATCTTCAGTCTTGAATAAAAAAAAACTTTTAATAACATCGAAGTTCTAAATCCCAGGATATTTGCAAAAAAGTATTTTGCGATGGTAATTTCCCTTCATTTTTTAATATAAAATAAGATATATAAATATTCATAATAACGAGGACACACACACACAGATAACAGATTGAATAAATACATTTCTGTAAATGTTGATATACAGTGGGTTTATTTTTACTGTAAGTACAGAGTATAGAAAATACACTTTAATTTGTTATGTATTTAGTTTAAAAATGAAAAAGGCAATGTGCCATTTATTGTCCTTAACATTAAGGGGCCGTTCTATGCCGAAAACACTGCAACCTGCAAGGTTTATTATGTTTGTCTTCTTTTTTGTGCTTTTTATGCCTGCACCCAGTCTCCTATCCCGGTGCCTTGCACCAGCTTGTGCAGGTCTTTGATAGAATGTAATCATAGTTCCTCCAGTTCTACCCTTTCTTTCCCATATAGAAAGGGTCACTTGCAATTCAGAGCCACGCAGTAACATATTTTGTACTCTACCGTATCAGGATCCTAATCACAGACTGCAGCAAATACTTCCTTGATACAGGTTAAGTATAGGCAAAAGAGTATAGGCAAATCCGTGTGGTTTTAAAATTAAGTTTTTGGATGAAGGCCTTGCTATGTCTGTGTCTCTATATGTTTCTCCAGTGAACACAGTGAACAGTCTGCTTTTCCCTGATCCAGAGTTTTGCTGCACAAGCAAATGTATTAGTTTGTATTTATATTTTAACAAGACGAGTCTCACATTGAATATCCTTTGCTGCTTTTTCAATGCCCCATTTTGACTCAATTGTCTAAATCAATAATTATTTTCTAACCTTGTTTGAATGCTTACACGAAGACACGCCATTACTATGTAAGTATTTCTTTTTCATGTTGAATGCTACAGTTTTATGGAAATAGTATTTTTTACATGGAAGAATACGTATATCAATTCCCACAAATAACAAAGTCAAATCTTGTAAATTTACAAGAAGAAAAAGAAAAAAGGAATAAAAAACGAATTCAAAGAAATGACAATGGCTCAAAATTTTCGATCGATCATTTGATTTAGAAATGGTGCAATCTCTAATCCTAACATCCTCTCACAATGTATTTCATCTATTTTCAATCATTCTACCCGTACATATTTTTGTATGGGTTATTATTGTTTCCATTCTACTCATTTTATTTTTGTTTTCAGGTGAAAATGAATTGCAAAATTGCAGAATACACGAAAACCGAGGAGTCCCGAACCACAGAGACCAGCGCCACTACCGAGAGTTTTTCGAAAATGAGGCAGTCGAACGTCAGGTCGTTTTCGCACTTTCCTACCGCTCATATGTCGTTGTTCTTGTCAACTATGACGAAAACGAAGGGATTCTATGCCAGTCTGGCGGATAATTTGTGCAGGGAAGAGTCGTTTGCCGAACAAAAGGATAAACTGTGTTGGAACGGTGAAAGAATCGCAGAGTGAGTATCAAAAAATATATATTTTAGGTAGTTCATTTTTTCTTACGTTTTCTGCGTACCCACTTTTAGCAAGGAATCTGGATTGCTGATTATACGAGTGTGTATTTTAAGATTTTTGAGATGGCTATCGGCTTGTTCCACTGCCACATTTCAGACCTATTGGGTTACATTCTCCAATCCTATCCTTTTCAAAAGTCTAATAACTTGTAGACTGAACCCTCCATGTAGTCCTCTGGCAATTGTCTATCATTGCCTATCACCGATAACCATAAGATGTGTTCTGTAGTTTCTACTAGCCTAAGAGGCTCATGGCTTGATTGGTTATATTTCTCCGTTTGCTTCTGTCTTTCGCCTTTATTCTCCACCCATCCACTCTTATCCTTCTCAAGTCCTCTTCAACATTCTTTTTCCATCTGGTTCTCGGTCTACCCCTCCTTTTCATTCCACCTATTTCACGTTTCATTATCATACTAGGAACTCTTGCTTCAGCTATTCTTTCAATGTGTCCCAGCCATCTCAATCTTTGTAGTCTTTCTACTCCCGTTATACTCGGTGCCCGATATAGTTGCTTTAATTTTTCATTTCTTCTTCTGGTCCATATGTTGTCTATCTTCTTTCCTCCAAAAATCTTCCTCAGTATGTTTCTTTCCCAAATCTCTAGCCTCGAACTTTTCGTTACATTGAACGTCCACGTTTCACATGCATACAGCACTATTGGTTGTATCATTGTTTGGTACATTATGATTTTTAAACTTCTAGAGATGTTCTTACTCTTAATAATTTTCTGTAGTGCGCTAACACATCTATTTCCTGCCATTATTTTGCCACAATTTCCTGAGTTACATTTGGTTTTCTTAGAACTACAGTTCCTAGATATGTGAATGTATCTACTTCCTCAAACTTGTATCGTTTCCCTCTCTCAGAATCTATTTGTAGACATCTTCCTTTCTCAACATCCCTATCTGACCACCCTATGAACTTAGTTTTCTTCTCATTAAACACTAAAGCCTACTTTTAGTCTTTTGGTCACCGATATCAGCTCTTTCCGATCTCTTGCTAAGATAACTAAATCATCTGCAAAGGCTAAGCATTGTTGTCTTTTTGTATAAAGAAGGCCCTCTCATATTCCCTCTCAGATTCCCGCATCTTTTATGACTTTTTCTAATACTACACTAAATAGTACTGGAGATAGTGGATCCCCCTGTCTTAATCCGTCCCTGATTATACATTTTTCCGATGTTTTCTTGTTGACTTTGACTTCATTTAGTGACTCTTGGAGTGTCAATTTTATCATCTTGGTCAGTTTCTTGCTAAACCCTAATTCTGTTAGTTTTTTACACCTCAGTCCTTTTAACTTTGTCATATGCCTGCTGGAAGTCGATAAATAGGAGCATTGTCTGTTTTCCGTATTCATAACTCTCCGCTTGTATTTCTCTAAGGGCAAATATTTGGTCAGCGGTACTTCTTCCTTTCCAATAATAATAATAATAATCAAATTATTAACTAAATATCCAATAAAAAAGGTTAAAAATGAAATCCTGCAATAAAATTAAAACTCTATTGGTCAGCTCATCGGTCATCTGTTGGTTCTTACGGTACTTACTTCTACATGAACAACACGTAAACAACAAAATGTAAGGCGTGACACAAATTGCACTTTCGTGTCCAGCACGATATTCTGATGTTTATTACATTGCTTTACGCCTCACTTGTTTCACAAACATAAAGCGCAGATTGTCGCTTCCAAAGACAGGCATAGCCAATGTTATAAGTGTGAATTGCAAAAATGATCTTTTACAGTTCGAGAATTTACATAAGTGGTTATTTCAAGAGAATTTAATGGGGTTCTATATAAGAATGGAGGTTACAAGGATCTCGTTGATCACAAGAGATGCGAGGATTATTAAATTAGTGAACAGTTGAAGCGTCTTGCTGAACTCTTTAAACATGTTTAAAAATCTGCTTGGTTCCGAAGATATTTGGAGAAAAACCGAATTATCTCCGTTTCGTTTTAATTTTAATACCAACTTGAAATTTAATTTCTACTTTTTTCTGCTCTACGAGTTAATGTTATTAGATTATTTATTTATAATTATTAAAATGAATGAAAATTACAATGAAAATAAATAATTCTATCCGAAATTATTTAAAATTATTCCATTTATGTATCGAAAAATGTTCTATATAAAATATCCGTACTGTTTCAATAAGAGAGGACATTAATTGGGTAAAATTTTGAATTAAATATCTGTTATTTCTATTTCTGGACCTGCAGATAATTATCTAGACATCGGAATAAAGTAGAAAATGTGATATTTCTGCCAATTATATTTTCAATTTATTCTCTAACATTTTTTTTTCTATTTTTTACTACTTGCTATGTCTAGACTTTTGTTATATATAACTTTTTATTTTTAAAACACCAAGAATTGGAGTCTATGCAAAAAGGTATATATCAAAGTGTTTTGACCTTAACTGATATTATTTCATGTAGAATAAAAGGAATATCTATGGCATTTTATGAAGTGGCAGAAGTTATTTTTAAAGCTAATCAAATAATGGCTATTAAGTTTTATTTTCCTTTGTTAAATAAGAAAAAATAATATTGTTGACAAAGATATTAAAAGAAAGTTTTATATAAATGTCGCAAGGTATATAAGGGGCATGGTATATCAGGGTGTTCAAAAGGAATGATAAAGTTGTAAGTTTTTTAAATTGCAACCCCCATTTTTCAGTAGAGAATTGGGTTCAGCGTCTTCGACCAAAACCAGTATCTGAGACGGTTTTACCTAAGTTTTACAGAGGTTAGTTCTCCATCTCCGATATCAGTCGTACTAAAGAGGCATGAATGGTTGTCGTCTCGGAGCACTCAGTTAATGAGATGTTCTGGCGTTTCCTCATATTTCCCACAGAATCTGCATTCGACTTTGTTTCTATTGGGGTGTTCATTGAGGAGACAGTGTTCTGTTAAAAACCTCATGACACAGATTATTGTTACTTAAATCAAAAAATCTTCGATTTTTCTCGGTTGTAAGTCCTTGTATATGACATATCCAAATATTAATTCTATATAAAAAAGTGATTTGATCAATTACACCTATAGCTACATAGTAAAAAAGTCGATAATATTTTATTTAGTTGCACTTTATAGAACTAGAAAAATGCTAAATCAAACATTTTTTATAGGAGGTTTTCTGCAACCTCTCCATTTTGTTTGTCTTTATTCATTCACATCCTGTATGTATTGGAGTCCATTTGAAGCACATAAATGCAATAGATATATCTATTGCATTTGTGTGTACTTCAGTGTGTGCTTGATTAGTATAGTACTAGTCATTATTGATGTTTAACACATTTTTTTGACACATAAACAAAATATCGTTGCGTTTCAAATAAATTCAATTTATATAATGTCCTATTAAGGTTATCTTGGCAGTTACTAAAACAAGTATGATCTATTGATCTCGTATAATTTTAAATTAGAGTATAAAACTAAATATAGAATAAAACTGCATTATAGATATTGACAGCCCACCCAAGAATATATCAAAAGAGGAAAATACAGTAGTCCTGAACTGTAACTAACGTAACAAAAATAATAACCTTAAAATGACAATCATAAATAGGTACTATAGTTGCAACTTTTTCATATTTATTGTTGTCCTCTTCTGATCCTTAGGTTACATTCTCCATTCCTATCGTGTTCAAAAAGCCTAACAAGTTCTAGACTGAACTCTCCATATAGCTCTTTGTGAAAGGCCTAGGTATATTATGACTCAATACCGGGAACCACACATTTGCTAGGCTATCGCACACGCACATGCAATTTTTTGGTGAATGCCCTATCATCTAGCACTGGTGAATTTTTACACCATTCTAGAGACTTCTTGGGCACTCACTGAATGTCATTCTTATGCAACGCGACTCTACAGAGCCAGAAAAAACTTACCGAGCTTTGGAAAAATAAAGAATATTCCTGATAATGATGCCTGTAAAAAATAAAAATGAATTGATTCTCAAAAATATTTAGGTATTTCTCATTCTCTAAAATATTATATGCATAGGTATGCAAATTTGAAGAAAATGCAAAACTACTTGCAGGGTATTAACTTGAAATAATTATTAGTAAAGTTCACTAGTAAAATTCAGGTATAATAGTAACAATTTTATTATCTTTAGCAGATTAAAGGGATAAAATTTCGCTACTGCAGTCGCTGTGGTATCAAGTTAAAAATGGAATGCATCACACGGTATACATTTCTAAAGGGTTGTTCAACAACTAACCGTCCACTGTCTCATATTTGAAGGATGTCTTAATGGTTCTTACGATATAATAGAGGGATCCGAAGTAACAATGCGGGTACTTAAGCTGAATAGGGTCTCGAATAACCGATATTTTATACCGGATTTGATTAATAGAGCAGCAATTGCAAATTGCAAAGGGGTTAAAAGAGCTAGTATCGCTTTTTTTCATATCTATATAATTATTACAGGAGTTCCAGTTGTTATTTAAAATCATAAAATTTGAAACCTGCTGTTAAAATTTACGGCAGACTGTATCAATCTATCAAGAAGAAACGACAGAACACATTTTATGTCAGTGCGACAGCCTAGCAAATTTGCGGGTCTTTGTATTAGGCAGTGGTAGACCATTAGATTGCTAAAGAGCTGTATGTAGTTGGCCTTGACTTCAAAAAAAGCGCCATTTTTTAAGCTTTTCAGCGATATAAGCTATAATATATTTCTTTCGAAAAATTGTTAGCCATGGGAACAAGTTCAATCGTCGTTGCTCTCAGTAATGTGAAACTGTCAAATCCAAACTTTGTAAATTAAAATAAACAAACATTGTAAATATGAATTTTTCTAATAAAGAAAAGCGTGTAGGATTATTGGTTCAACTTTTCTTGGCCATACATTTTCGAGGATATGTTGACCGGTGAACGTTACGTACGTTTTAAAAAAGTTAAATTTAGATACTCGCGCATCTACACGAGTGGTTCCAACATGACTTTCATTATAACCCCCCATAATGAAATAAATGTTAAAAATTATTTATATCATAATTATGCAAACTCAGGGATAGGAAGAGGTGGACCAAATTGCATGGGCCTCCTCGATCACCTGACCTATCCATTTTAGATTTTTTTTAACAAGGTTTAGAAAAGAACCTATGAATTAAGAGAGGCACTCGTAGAGGCGGTACGGGAGAAGTTTATTAAAGTCGACTGGCCGTTCTGTGGGAAAAGCTTGTAATTAGCAGTGTTAAGCAGTTTTAAAAAGATACATTTTATGTACTCAAAACAATGGCCGTTTTTTTAAACATTTGCTAAAATAATTTAAAGTGTATGTAGTGATATTAGTTTTTTTTTAAGTTTTAGTTTGTGTAATGTAAATTGTATAGAACAGTTTAATAAAATATTCTGTCTTTTTATAAGTTATAAATCATAACAGAATAAGAATACCATGCGAACTAAGTGAAGTTTGTCAAGAAAGATAAGAATTGACTATAACTCATTAATTTTTCGAAAAAAACATATTATAGTTTATACAGCTGAAAAGCTTAAAAAATAGCGCTTTTCATGAAGTTATGACCAACTATTGTTTCCATTAAAAAAAAACATATGTTTGTGTCATATGTCAAAAATGACAGGCTTTAAAAAAAATCCGAGAACACAAACTTATTAGGGATGTGATTATCTACAACTTTTATCTCAAAACTTTTTGTCTAAAATAGATTATAATGGAATTAGGGACAATTTTTAAAATAGCCGAAATTTGTTTTTTTCGAAATATCTAGTAAGCCATGAACTTTTTCAAAAATCTGAAAGGCGCATATTTATGACCCCACAAAAATACAATCCTTTCCCCATTTAACCGACTCTCTATCTCCAGTAGTTTCCGAGATATCCATAGAGAACATCCTATGAAACTCACCCTGTATAGCAGGGTGAGTTTCATTGACATACCTGTAGAGCATAAAAATATGCCCAAATAGGGTGACAAACGTGTGTAACTTTCGTTTAATCAGAAGTTGGTGGTCAATAATATATCACTATGAATTATCCGAAACAGATACCTAACGAAACTCGAAATAAAACCGCATCAAACTTTTCCAACTAAAGCAATAAATTTGTATTAAACTAACGGATATTTTATACGATATAAAGTCGTCGTATAAAATGAAAATTCTTTCCAGAGACACAGACGACGTTGCAATACATATAAATTGAACGTCTGCAGTCGGAAATATTTTCCGTTTTCTTCGCAGTTTCTTTAGAAATCGCCAAACCAATTTCGAACGACTGTTAAGAACTGACGCGAAACTTTATTGGACACCTGACTCTCCTCTTTTCGATCTTTTATATCGGGGAACGTCTTCGGAAATTGTGGCTATTGCACACTGGACAGGCAAACAAGAACGAAAGCGATTAAATTGCAATATACAGGGAAATGTACGTCGAAATTCTTCAGAAATTGTGGCTACTGGCAGCACACTGATAGGCAAACAAGAAAATAAATGATTAAATCGTAATATACAGGAAGATCTACGTCCAAATTGTTTAATAAACTTCGATTTTCAGGGCATATTCCGTCCAACAAACCCCTCAACACTATATCAAATTACCTCTGAGAAATATTTGATATCATCATCATTCTCAGCTTATTCATCCATTTTCAATTATAGTGTAGTTTCCCTTCGCTATTTAGATAATCTCTTTTTTGTAATTGTGCCCATTGTTGTCTATTATTGTTGACTATGCGGGCCCGAGTTATCCTTGCTAATTGTCTAAATCTATCAGGTTTGGTCTTCCCCTAGGTCTCTTAGTTCCTCGTGGGTACCATGCTGTAATTTTTGTGGTCCATCTGTTGTCTGTCCTTCTTGCCAGTTTACAACCTGCCCTTTGATTAAAGGAATTTGATTCTGTAGATGACATTTATTACCTAGATCTTTTGTCGTATCTACTCCATTCTTTTACGGTTTTTCTTGGTTATTTCCAGCATATTTGGTTCCATTGAATGCCTAGACTAGTGCTACATATTGGCCGAATGATTTCTTCTTTAGATGAAGTGCCATTCTAGATTTGAATATGATTGAGTTTCTTCCATAAGTACTCCATGCTCCATGCCAACTTTAATTCTTCTGTTGATTTCTGGTAGTAGAAATCCCGAGCTGTGTATTAGTTGTCCCAAATATATATATATATATATATATATATATATATATATATATATATATATATATATATATATATATATATATGAAAAGAAAAGAAATAGAATAAGAAGAAAATAGGTCTCAAAATGAACTTGAGTAGCAGACATAAGTAATTCTATTAAATAACACATATATAATATATATATATATATATATATATATATATATATATATATATATATTCTATACCATTTCCAGTGCTGTGTTATTTAATAGAATGTCTTATATGTCTGCTACTTCATTGTACATTACTTTAGTTTTCGCTAAGTTCATTTTGAGACCTATTTTCTTGCTGGATGTATTTAGTTCGTTAATTTGTGCTTGTAGTTCTTCAGGACTATTGGCAATTAGCTAATCTTAGATGGTTAAGATATTCTTTATCTATTTTTAATCCTTTGTTGGTCAAGTCCAGTTGACGGAAGATTTCTTCTAGTGTTGCTGTAAACAGCTTAGGGGATGCTTGTAGTTCTTCAGGACTATTGGCAATTAGCTAATCTTAGATGGTTAAGATATTCATTATCTGTTTTTAATCATTTGTTGGTCAAGTCCAGTTGACGGAAGATTTCTTCTAGTGTTGCTTCTACTGTTGTCTCTCTGTCGTACTCCTTTGCCAGTTGGAAACTCTGGGGTTGTTTTATATATCATTAGTCTTGCTTTGGTGTCTTTGTATACATTGGCGAGAGTTTCTATATAAGGTTTGTCAATACCTTGTTTCGCTAGAGCAGCGCTAGAACTGCTTAGGATATAGCCTAGCTGCCTTAGGATATAGGCAGAAGACAACGTCTTTTAAGGCTATGCCTAGTGGAAGTTCGTATTCTTTCGTTCGGCTGTTTCTCTTAGTGTATGTATGTGATCAATCGTGCTGAAGCTGCTTCTAATACCTGCCTGTTCTCGTGGTTGTGCAGCGTTTAGCGTCTTGTATTCTATTGTTTATTATTTTCAGCAGTTTGGTTTGGCACTTCGGTTTCCCGCACATATTCCCCCAGCCGAACATACTGAATATTAAACTGTGATATAACTATTCGAAACTTTGAATAAAAAGATTCGAAATACTGTTGTTGTATAAATAGGTAAAAAATAAATTGAAGTTCGATATAACTGCTTCCTTTTAATGAAACATTATCTACCACCTGACTAATTTCGTTATTTCAGATTTTGATAATGACAATTGAAATTTTGAATTGCAGGTACACGAAGACGGTGGTTGACGTCGGCCTGATGCAGAAATACAATCCCGAAGTGAAAACGTCGCCGAATTCGCAACACGTCGACCCGAAAATCGCCACTCTGGTCGACAAACTGAGGCATGTGCATTACGTAAGTACCGTCCTCTAATAAACTAGGTTTACACAAACGCCGAAGGTCGGCGGGCCGTGTGTTTATAGTTCAAACAAAATCGAAATAAATATGAATATATATCGTGCGATTAGAAAATGCGTCGCGGAAATATATTATATATAATCACAGGCGTAATTCACACGTCCCTGCAGTTAGTTTTTTTTACAAACAATAAATATTTGATAAATATGATGTCAAGTCAGAAATGAAACCACTTGCTTTTTGAAGTTTTAAGACGCGTTTTCACGAGTCATCTCTTATAAGAGATCCTAGAGGATACAAAAAAATTTTATTGGTGTATGCAGACCAACTTAATTTATATCATATTTGTGTTGGAAAAAGTTGCAGCCAAAATAAAAAAAATTGTGTGCACTATGCGCGCATATTTGAATAAGTTAAACTTCTTACTTCCGTCAGTATGTCTGTGTGTCCGTCTGAGGACTCCATTCGGGTACCTCTATCCACGTGCCTAGTTTGGTTCCAATTGACCCATAAATAAGAAAAATCCTTATGATTTCGTCCATTTAGAGGCATCGGTTCGAAACGTCGAGGGCGTCATCCTGTAGCCCAATCACACCGAAATTGGTCTACATTTTCCTTCAATAATCAAGTCCTTAGTCCCACCCTGATGAAAATGGAAACTAAACGTCGTATCCAACTTTGCGGGTTGGAACCGTGTGCACCGTCGCTCACATAGCTTACTTACCAAATTTGGTCGCGAACGGAAGACATCAACTTTTGACGTTTCTTACGACAAAATTAACTGTCACAGTGACACGTGTCGTTCACGGTCAAGTTAGCCTTGGTCCAATCAATTGACATACCATATTTCATTTAAATCGGACGATTTTTTTTTGATTAATTGATGATGGGGTTTCGTAGTGCACGAAACGTCATCAAAATATCATGAAAAGATGAAGCTCTTCAAGGTCCATTTACATTCCGAGTTTCAGCACCCTAACTCACATAGGGAACGAGTTACGACGCTCCAAGGAGCCATCTCAATTTCCTCATTGGCTTACCACTTTTTCGATCGTTACCACTTTTTCTGACGCTAGCTCGTGTGCCACGACTTTGAAACTTTACTTCCAGTGCGCGTAAAGTTTCACTTCAAAAATAGGGCTTATTAAACATTAACGGGGAACGTAATTTGTACTCGGCTTAAGATACAAATTACTCTTCTTTAACTAATCTCTTATTTCGAATTCTGTGTGTTCCATATACACCTCATATTTTTCATAAATATTAATAAACTTCGCAGAATTTTCCTGTGATCAACTATTTGCCGTCATTTTAAAAATACCACTTGGACGCCAAAAGGAAAAAATATCATAACGTGGTAAACTGATGCTTCCAAAACCAAAGCAGGGACAGGGATATGAGTATTTAGGCCGAAAAATAAATGCTCCGAACCAATAGGCACCTTACCCCAGCATCCTTCAGGCAGAAATTTACGCTATCGAAAGATGCGTACAACTTCAGAAACAAGAAACAGCCAATTCAAAGCGATCAATTCAGTAACCATTAGTTTGAAGTTAGTCAGAGAATGCTTAGAAAAGCTGAACAAATTAGGCGCAAAGATACTCGCGATAAAGTCCTCCTACTCTGGGTGCCAACTCACTAAGGCAATGAAAAAACAAACGATATAGCCAGAAAAGGAGCGAACACTCCACTAACTGGACCAGAACCGTTCTTCCTCCAACGGTCTAAGACACTCGAAGAAATTTCTCAGAACTTACGACTGAGAAAAATCAAAGAAGTAAGAACAATCTTTGGGTTGTTACGGGGTTTTTAACAGGACACTGTCTCCTCGATGAATGCTTCAGCAGATTGAAGCTAAGAAACAACGACGAATGCGAATTCTGTGAAAAAATGGAGAAACACCAGAACACCTTATCATTGAGTGCGTCGAGACGACAACCATTTGTGCCAAGATTGATACGACTGATATCGAAGATGGAGAACTGACAGTTGTAAAACCGTCTCAGATACTGGCTTTTGTCAAAGCCCTGAGACTGTACGATGAGTTATAACTAAAGAAGGGGGACATGCAAAACATCTGTAAGGTTGCAGTGATTAACCCTCCTCCCATACATTCTACATTCTACATCTTAGTAAATATAACTAGATAATATTTGGTTAACTCTCGACTTATTTAGAGAAAAAAACTACTAAAGACGAGAGAAGAATTCCAACCCAAAGCGAGAGATCCTGTCCTGCTAACTAACCTTGACCAAGCCCCTTTGATGTGTGCGATTTCGTTCCGACTATGTAAATAAGCGTCGAGGTATGCTTTGGAGACCGCCGTCTGTTTTCGGATCTAATTATGAAAAATATTAACATAATTTTGTAATATTTTCTCGTTCTCTGTGCGGTTATGAAAGAGCGACGCGTATATTTGGTATGAATGACTCAAAAGTAGAAAGAATGAAGACCTTGAAGCATTTTGTTTAAAATTATGTATTGTGTGAAGTTAAGAATTGTTTTGTAAACAGAGTTATTTAGGCATATAATATTCTCTCATAAATTCTGGGTACATATTAAAGACTAAGAAAAGAAAAATAGAAGATGATTATTATTTCATGTGTATGGTATAATTCTTAACGTTATTATAAAAGAAACACACAGGAACCAAATGAGTAACTAATTGAAAACTTAGATCATAGAACTGAAAAGAAAGTAGTCAGTAAAAAAATCTGTTTGTGCCTTAAATTAAATTGAGTGTCTTCTGCGCCTCTCTCTTTAGTATTAGTCAGGGATATTATGTTTTTCTTTTCATTGTATAAGGATGTGCTATAATTCATTCAATGAACAATGCCCTATGAAAGATACATACACGCATTAATTTATAGGATCACGTTCTCTCGAATAACCTTGGCTTCATTTCCTTTTCAATCTGCACCTCTTCGAGCCCAATCAACTAAATAAATTACTATGAAATCTGAAACAGTAGAAAAAAAAAGACCCTCTTTATTTTTTCTACTTTTTTTTCTAGTCTTTTTTTTTCTACTTTTTTAATTTGAACCAGGTCTCTTTGAGAAAAATGGATGCCTTCTTTAAATCTGAAACAGCTATGCAAATAAGGGTCCCTACATACCGATGAATAAAATACCACATTTTTAATGCGATATCTGAAGTAGTTGAATCGTTGAATATATTAAATTTATTATTTGTAAAATGCATCTGGGTTAGATAGGATCCATGAAAAGTTTATCAGTTCCTTTTTACTTACAAATTTGCCGGAACCATAACTTGTTAAGAAGTATCTCTTCATATAGAGTCTGTCTATTGCTAATCTAACTATTTGGAGAACAACTTTAGTTATTTAAAATAGACGCCTCTATGAAGCTTCGTTTGTTATCTAAAACATTGTGCATTAGTCCAAAATATAAGAAATTCTAAATGCTAAAAAGGCATTTTACCTACTTAAAAATATAACAAAATGTTCAAACAGGTATAATAATCACTATTTTGTTATTGTTTGCAGATGGCAGTCAAATCCTTAGGTCCCAACTATTCAGATCCAGATTATATGCAGAGGGACGGAGTGGACGGGTCAGGATCTGGAAGTGGACCAGATTTTGACGAGGAAGACGAGTATTCCAGAGGCTCCGGTTCAGGACATGGTCCTATCGATGGTAAGTAACACTAAAAAATAAATAAATAATATCATAGAGAAAATTCAATCGCAGTTTGCTATAAAATGCTTCAATAGACGACAAAATTACATTCGCAACAATATCGCAAATCGCAACTCCTAATAGCAACGTCGGAAAAACAAGTACCTATTTTAAGACGTCTGGCTCTTTGATATACCTTTTACTATGCTCTCTAGAACAGCATGCTGTAAAGTAAACGTTGCGTTCCCTACTGCGCATTGAAAGAAGATCCTATATTTTTATTAGTCCTTTAAATTCTAGTATTAAATATAAATCGAACATGTCTCCATAGCGCAGTGCGTAGAGTTTCCGACCACGAACCGATGATTCAGAGTTCGAATCCGGGTCAGGGCAAAAACTTTTTTAATTTATTTTCGTTTATATTCTGATAGTAAAGTATTAAATATTTGTTTTTATTTAATTACCAGAATTATTTAATACTTTACTATCAGAATATAAACGAAAATAAAATAAAAAAGTCTTTGACCTGACCCGGATTCGAACTCATCAATTTTTTTTTTAACCTGACCCGGATTCTCAACATCATCGGTTCGTGGTCGGAAACTTTAAGCACTGCGCTATGGAGACATGTTCGATTTATATTCAATACTAGAATTTGTAGGACTAAATTAATAAAATATAGGATCTTCTTCCGATTCGCAGTAGCGAACACAACGGGTATCGGCAGCCAGACGGGCCGCATGCTGTTCCAGAGAGCATAGTATAAGATATATCAAAGAGCCAGATGTCTTAAAATACTTTCTCAAAATCGTTGCTAGCTCTTAGACTATAAAAATTGAAACTCGCGAATAGAAATCGCGGTCCCGGTTTACAAAATCACAATCGCAGCAAAATCGCAACAAAATCCCAAATCGCAACAAAGTCGCACATCGCAGCTACAGTAATACTGGCTGCCTAAATTGAAACTCGCAAATAGAAGAAATCGCAATCGCAGTATTATGAGAGCCAATCGCAGGTTGCGATTGCGATTTTAAAACCGCTGCGATGAAATCGCAGTTTGGGATTTCTTGCTCATCTCTAGAAGGAAATATTAGAAACGTTGTTTAGAATATTGAAAAATTGGATACTTATTGGAATTCGCATGCTCATGAAAATACCCTATAATATTATCACTGTCGTCAAACAGTGAAACAGTGAATAAATAAAATGTATTCTCTACTTTGTTTTGTCTAGTCTCGCGCTCGTTACGTTTGAAATTAATCGATGGCAATTCGGAATTCCGAGGCTGCCTGGCGAACCGGGCTCAGTCGGCGAAAGAAAAACGAAAAGCTCGGGAGCCTCAAAACGAATCGGTGACAATTCTAAAACGTCCGTCTCTTCGAGACGGTTTTTTCTTTTTCTCTTTTGTTTATTTTGTTAGCGATTTAGTAAACTGCTTCGAACTCGGGCGCAAATTGCCAGAGGCGAACCAGAAACATTATCGAAAGTCCGAATAATTTATTGAAGGATTTCATTTTTTAGAAATACTTTACTTTAAAGTAACTAAACTTTATTCTGTCGAATCTAAATAAATACAATAAAGACGAGTTAGTTACACCATTTATAACTAAAAAACAGTTGGACCAATTTTAATGATCTCTGATTTGTTGGAGTCATCTTCGCCCAGAATAGCGGGACAACTATGAAAATATTGGAAAATTTGATGGAAAACAATTATACAGAAAATTATTTTTAAATAAATTAAGTATGAAACTCCTTGAAATAACCTAGGCTTCAGTTTTTATTACAAGAAAAATTTTTTAAATTGAATATTTTGACAGATATTTCCGAAAAACTGATTTTTCGGCCATTTGGAGCCATTTTTCGACCAAAGCTGGCCGAGCATGGTGTTACAATTTTCCCCCTAAAACTACTTCAAAAACTATTGTCACGTTCTCGTTCAAAAAAGTTTATCAAGAAAGCTACAAGCTCTTCGCTTCGACTGTTTAAATGCTTCAGCATATTTTCATACACAATTTCAGAAATGCAATACAAAAACTCGAAAATTTAGTTCCTAAAAAACTGTGTTTAAAAAGTACAATTTAAAAAAACTATGAAAATCGGCAAAAAAACTGGAATTACTCCCAAAGAATCAACAACACGGTATTATACAAAATATTATTTGTGATAATTGTCCAAGTAATAAACGACAACGTTGATGATCGCGGCCCAATGTGACCAACATTGCCATAATAAAAATCGTTTTAAACTAATTTTTGCAGCTTTAATCTAAATAAAATATCTATTTTTGATCATTTGCTCTGCTAAAGTGAAATGAAGAGCTGTTGGGTATCTTAAGTTACAAATTAAACATTTTTGCCAAAAATTTAATTTAGTCAAGTTTATAGGCTTTAGTGTCAATTTCGATATGATCGATGAAGTGCATCGGAAAATGTTTTGCGAATACTGTAGACGAAAAATATTTTGAGTTTTTACAGACAAAGTAATTCTGTCAATATTACGTTTTTCTTTTCTTCTAGGTGACGACGAAGTTCCACGACACCATTCCGTCACGCCGGACCACTCCGAAAAAGTCGCCAGCACGTCAACAAAGACATCCAACTAAAGCCTATAAACTTGACTAAATTAGAATTTTGGCAAAATGTTTTAAATTTGTAACTAGATACCAACAGCATTCGCATAGAGAAGCAATGATAAATGACTATTTTATTTAGACTGCAAAAGTAGTTTAAAACGATTCGCGGCAATGTTGATGCGATGAGCCGCGATCTGTCGTTGGCTGCGCGACGAGTATCATAATATCGGTCGATGACACGGCTGCTAATACCGTGTTATTCTTTGAGGTAATTCGGTTTTGCCATTCATAGTTTTTTAAATTGTACTTTTAAACACAGTTCTTTTAAGAACTAAATTTTAGAGTTTTTGTATTGCATTTCTTGAAATTGTGTATTGTATGTAACATTAAGCTGATCGACGAAAAACTTGTAGCTTTGACTCTTTGGTGAAGCTGTGTTAATGAACACGAGACACAGGGGAAAATGCTATTTTATGCTTCGGCAACATTATGTACATCGGTTTTCAGAAATATGTCAAAATGTTATTTAAGAATTTTCTTTAAATTTAAAAAAAAAAAAAAAAAAAAAAAAATTTAAAAATATTTTCTGTTTTTTTTTTTTATTTTGTTTATTTTCCAATATTTTCATAGTTGTTCCGCTATTCTGGGCGAAGATGACTCCAACAAATCAGAGATCGACAGAAACAGTCAGCTATTTTTAGTTATAAATGGTGTAACTAACTCGTCTTTATTAGTATTTATTTAGATTCATTGAGGCTCAAGACCGCAAAAGTGCTGTTTCTAAAAAATGAAATCCTTCAATAAATTATTCGGACTTTCGATAATGTTTCTGGTTCGCCTCTGGCAATTTGCGCCCGAGGAATTCAGCGAGACATAAATAAGCAACAAGAAAGAGCAAACCGAACGGACGTTTTAGAGACGATGCCATTCATTTTGAGCTCGGCTTTTCTCTTTTGGCGAGACTACTCTTCCAGGTATATCGATGGTAACGCAGCTGTAAGTAGAAGAATACATTTTGTTTGTTGCTGTTTCACTGTTTGACGACAGTGATAATAAATTTCATGTTAACCAATCGAGCCGCAATATTCGTAACGTGCCTAATATTTCGCTGCAAACAGAAATCCCAAACTGCGGTACAACATTTAAATCACTGGCTGACACTGCGACCAATATGCTGAGACACTGCTTCTATTCAGTTTCAGGCTTGGCAATGCTTAACTGCGATATTCCGGTACGATTTACGACCTGTGCGACACGGACCGCTATCCGCAGTTTCACATAGTCTGGAAGCAACAGCAGAACTTTCGAGAACGTCTGGCTCTTTGATATATCTTATACTGTAGCAGGACGGCATGCATGGCATATCGACGCGCGTAGGCTGCCATGTGTTCGCTACTGCGGAAATGGAAGAAGATCTATATTAATTTAGTCCTACAAATTCTAGTATTGAATATAAATCGAACATGTCTCCATAGCGCAGTGCTTAAAGTTTCCGACCACGAACCGATAGTTCAGAGTTCGAATCCGGGTCAGGTCAAAGACTTTTATTTTCGTTTATGTTCTGATAGTAAAGTGAAATAATTCTGACAGTAAATAAAAACAAATATTTAACTCTTACTATCAGAAGTAAGAATAAGTAAAAAGTTTTGCTGACCAGTGCGTGTCAGCTCTGCACTGCGCTGTAATTTAATACTGGGGCTGAGGACTGGCAAAATATATGGGATGTTGTGCGCGGCGAAACACGGCGTTCTGGCATGCTGTTAGAGCATAGTAGAAGGTATATCAAAGAGCCGTCTTAAAACTCTGGGCGCTATTCCGACGTTGCTGTCAGGGGACGCGTTGCGATATTGTACGGTATTTGTCTGGCGTTTTACCGTTGAAATTTTATGCTGATGTGTTTATTTGACATGTTGCCTGCGTCGATAGGACCATGTCCTGAACCGGAGCCTCTGGAATACTCGTCTTCCTCGTCAAAATCTGGTCCACTTCCAGATCCTGACCCGTCCACTCCGTCCCTCTGCATATAATCTGGATCTGAATAGTTGGGACCTAAGGATTTGACTGCCATCTGCAAACAATAACAAAACCAGTGATGATATACCTGTTTGAACATTTGACCATACAGAAGCAAAAATACTGCTTTGCTGACACAGAAACTCTTATATTTTGGACTAATGCACAATGTTTTAGATAACAAACGAAGCTTCATAGAGGCGTCTATTTTAAATAACTAAAGTTGTTCTCCAAATGGTGCTGCAATAGCAGGCTCTGCTGTAACAGATATGATTTCCGGCTGGCTATGAAGCAAGGCGATAAACTTCCCATCTAACAGGCTGCGTACACAAATAATGGGAGCCCAACCATTCAACGATTCAGCCAGGCTCGCATTAAATATTCTTCGTGGCGGCGAGACCCCACTGGCTACGCTGTTCAGCTGTCATAACTTGT